TAAGGCCTGGGTTTCGTTTTCAGCATTTAAATCTCAAATCACAACTGACTGAATTCCAGGCTCAGAGGTTCCCATACTTTCTTCTGAATTTCATAGGCACTGCACACATGGTACACATACGTGCAGCCAAACACACACACAAACAAATAAATAAAATAAATGTAAATGATTTTTAAAGAAATTCATTAAGTAAATATAAATAATTGCAAAAGAAATACATTAATAAACTTGTTTACATGCTTTATTGTATTTTCATGTGCTTATATTATAGATATATAGATAATAGCTAGGAAATATTTCTTTAGGCTAACTCTTAATGGCAACTTGATTGGAGTTAAGACTTAACATATTTTATGGCAAGTTATGGTGATACACACAAACACGCAGTTATAGGACTAAAATGTATTAAAGGTTTAACTTTTATTTCTATGAAATATTTCTTTTCCTATTAATTAATTTTTATTCATTTGCAGCTTCCTCAACCCCCAGGTATTAAAACAGTTACACTGGGCTAGTTAGATTAGTGGATAAGACACTTGCTGCCAAACCTGACAGCTTGAGTTCTATCCCAAAACCTCACACTGTAGAAGAATTAATTTCTGTGTCTAGTCACCTCTGCATGTCAGCACAAATATACACATAGAAACATTAATTAATGGATTGTTTAATTAAACATTCAAACATAAAAGATACATTGCCTTTCTTTTCTCTAGGTTTAAAATTTTCTCCAATCTTTTCAAAAAGTATCCTTCATTTTACTATTTAGTACTTTCAAATAAATGTTATCATTTCTTAGCAAACTTATGTGTGTCATTTGTACTTGATTGTATATTTGAAGTAAGTTCTCATGTATCCCAGGTCATCCTCTAATTCTACAAGACACTGGGGATGAGATTGGATTTCTGTACTTCCACTCTGTGCCTCCCCAGTACCAGTGTCAGAAAAGTGACTTAACACTCCTGGCTTATGTTCCACTATAGATCATCCCTGGGATTCATACAATCCAGGCAAACATTCTACCTTCTGAACCATATCTAATATTAAAATCTTTTAAATTAAATATTTAAATTCAGCACAAAACTCTTTTTGTTATTTCATTTTCCTTCTATTAACTGACTAATTATCTTGTTTTTTAGTATTGGTTATGGAAGAGATTATAACAATTCCCTTTTGTTGTTTTGGTACAATTAGACAATTTTTTACTTCTTGACCCAATTATTACAGATTTTTGAATATTTAAATTTGATAACAATTTTGTAATATGAATTAATGCTTTAAATAATTTAGTCAACAGATTATTAAAATTTTTTCTTATTTTAATTTATTGTGTTGCCATAGTAAACTAATGTATCATAGTAATTTTTCATTCCATGCAGTTCTACTACCATAACTGTTTCATTCAGTGAATATGCAGTTATATTTATACTTCTAACTCTTTTCATTTTATCTTATACTTTAATAATATTTTCTGGAATAATTCTCACTCTTTTTGGCTTTTAGGTGGTTTTAGTGTTACAATGTGTCTTTACTGATCTTTCTAAGAATATTTTGCAAAATATAGAATTAGCTTACTCTTTTATTTTTTTCCATTTTTTACTGGTTATTCTATTTATTCACATTTCAAATGTTATTCCCCTTCCCAGTTTCCCCTCCACAAACCACCTTTCCCCTTTCTGACCCTGTTTCTATTAGGGTGCTCCCCTACCTGCACAACCACTCCTGCCTCAGCACCCTACCCTTGGTCATCTAGTCTCTATAGGACCAAGGGACTCCCCCACCCCCCAGTGATGCCCAATAAGGCCACCCTCTGTTACATATGCAGCTAGAGCCATGTGTACTCTTTGGTTGGTAGTTTAGTCTCTGGGAGCTTTGGAGGTTCTGGTTTATTGATATTGTTGTTCTCCCTATGGGGTTGCAAACTCCTTCAGCTTCTGCAGTCTCTGCCCTAACGTTGCCATTGGGATCCGATGTTTGGATGTTTGGTTGCATGCATCTGCATCTATATTGCTAAGGCTCTGGTAGAGCCTCTCAGGGGATAGGCTCCTGTTAGCAAGTGTTTCTTGTCATCAGCTATAGTGTCTGGGTTTGGCATTTGCAGATGGGACGGATCCCTAGGTGGGGCAGTCTCTGGATGGCCCTTCAATCTTTGCTCCACTCTTAGTCCTACAATTCCTTTTGACAGAAGGAAGTCTGGATTACTATTTTTGAGGTGGGTGGATGGCCCCATCCCTCGACTAGGGGCCATACCTATCCATTGGATATGGTCTCTACAGGGTCTATCTTCCCTTTGTTGGGTATCTCAGCTAATGTCCTCCATGTTGAGTCCTGGGAACCTTTTGGGTCCCTGGCATCTGGGGCTTTCTAGTGGATAGCTTCAGTTCCCCCTCCACCACTGCTATAAACTTTCAGAAGTACCCTCTGTACTTCTTCCTCATCTCCTCCCATATTTTAACCAGGTCACCTTCTCCCTTTCCCTTCCTCTTTCCCTCCCAGATCACTCTCTCCTTCTACTTCCTGAGATTATTTTCTTCCCCTATCTGACTATAGCTTACTATTATAAAGATACAGTCACTTGGTATAAAAATTCAAGTAGAAAATGATTTAAATATATCATGCAGTTATAAATAACTTAGAAATTACTGTGAAATCACTTTTTTTCAGAGTTATATTTTTTATTAGGAGGGAAAATACACTTTGAGGTCCTCTGTGTCTTTGTCTCTGACAGGTATAATGCATTATTCACAATGTAATTCCTCTCCTCTGATGGAAGAGCTCATAATTCCAGTCTTCAGAGAAGCAGACATCTTCATGGCTCCAAAATGAAGAGGTCATGAATTGAAAGATTCAAAAATTTACTCTAACAAGAGATTTGGGGATTTGTTTAGCTATTTATTATGTCCACTACCTCTTTCCAGCAACCAATCTGCCAAAACCTCAAAGGGCACACTTGGGAAAATTGATCCTCATGCTTAATATTTATAGACTTTAGGAGTACTAATATTATAAAAGTCAAGTACATAAGTCATAGTTCAAACATTACCAGATGCTTCTTTCATTGAAATTTGCAGAAATCAGGGTACAGGTAGTTGACAGACATCTGGAGAGGTGCAATGCTTTCTGCCCTATTTTAATGTTCCAGATCAACTTTAACAGTGAAAACTGACTACTCTTCAAAGTCATGGTAGAGCACCTCTAGAAAAGCATGCTGGGTATCTGAAGAGAGGAAGGCTGTAGCTATTAATTTCTTTAATTGATTCAAGGTTTGTAATTGATTTTCTCTCATGCACTTGCAGCTAGTCAATTCTACTTGATTTTTCAATGCTCTCTTTTATATATTTGCATTTATTTTCCATTAAACTCTTTACCTTTTATACCTTTTTGCTAAGTGTAAGTTTGTATATGTATGTATTAACAATTGTATACAGGTACATCTGCACATGTTGGGGGGGGAGCATGTGGTGATCAGAGGTTGACATCAGGAGTCCTCCTTGCTCAGTCATCTCTACTTAGTTTTTTGGGGGGAGGGTTTTCCTTGTGCCAACCTGGCTAGTTCAATATTTGCTATGTATACCAGGCTGAATTTGAACTCACAGAGATTCGCCTGCTTCTGCCTCCCAAGTGCTGTAATTAAAGGTATAAGCTACAATACATACATTTAAAAATATTTACTAAACATTGATTTCATCTGGTTAGTGTAAAATTGCTTGCATAGCATTGACTATTTGGAAAATTCATTAAATTATTTTGATTTTTAATATTTGTATCATTCTTTGCTTAAGTATAGAACAAATCCAACTGAAAAACTGCAATTCCAGTTACATGAGGAAAAACTGCTAATTCTGTTTCAAAGGTTACATGAACAGGATAGTTTTTAAGTTAAGTAATCAGTAATATAAAAATAAAACTTGCAGTAGTATACATGTATTTTTTACGAAAGGACAAAAATTTTAGGATGTTTTTATTAAATAGAAGAATACTGGAGAATATTACACTTGGAAGACAACATGAACATTTACTGAAATATAAAGAAAATTTTAAGTATTTTCAGTTATTTATTGAGCTATGTTTAACTACAATTATAGATGCATTCTATTTATCATTGTTTAAATTGTAAAAGCACAGAATATATTGTGAGGTAAAGTATAATTTCTTGGTGGGTTAGGTCTCAATATAGATAGATAGACAGATAGATAGATAGATAGATAGATTATAGAGGTTATAATTTTTAATTTTTGAACAAACTAAAGAATTGCAAATGTATTAAAGTGATTAACACAGTTAATGCTTCTGTTGGAATTTCCTATGAAAACTGAGTGAAAGAAATATAGTTACTGATGATAACATTCATGGTATAACATGAAAATTAGCATCGATGAAATCTGAATGAAGACCAGAGATTCAAAGATCAATGGGTATATAGGGTAATTATATGTAACAGGAAGTTTACAAGGAGTAGTCAAGTTAATTAATGAGTATATAAAGTTGAATAACATAAAAGAGTATGGAAGACCTAAAGGATGTATAGACGGTGGTAGAATTGAGGGTCAGAAGCTCAATGTAATGCTATTTTGCAAGGAGAATAATCCACGTTTGTAGACAGCATCAGACTTCAGGAATTCTGACTGCATTTGTGATATTAAGCATCTCTTATGATGAAAAATATATTTAAAAAATAATTAAATGTATTCTTTAAAATTTTCACACATGTATGTAATGCATTCTAACATTCTCATCCTCTATTTGTTTATACATATCTCATTCTGTCAACCTCCCTCACTGGGAAAGAAACTTTTCCCATGTCTGTGTTGTTTGCTTTATTTTGTGATTTACTGTGTGGCCAAGGATATAGAGTTATCCATTAGAGATCAGTAGACTGATAAGATGATGACACTTTTCTTTAGTATCTTTTATTAACAATTATTCAGCAAATATGGGTAGAGTCCCATGCGCCTCTTCTCCATCCATCTCTGGATGTTGATAAGTCTAGTCTTTTTTTTTTTTCCATATAATTATTGTTTATTGAGGGAAACTACTCCTTAGCCCACATATTCATGTCTCATAGTTCAGGTGCACAGGTCAGCAATGAACTTCTATGGAGCGCAATCCAAAGAATTCTTTGCATTCTGTAATCACTTCGCACTCTGAAAGATACCAGCCTTCCTCATCTCTTCAAAGTCTTTCATGGAATCATAGTTTCTATAGAAATCTGCATACGCCTGCTTTCTTGGTTCAGCCACGCCAAACTTATAGGCAGCAGCAACTCCCAGGGCCACAGTGAATGCGCCAACAATATGAACCCGCAGACGCTTGGCCAGAAGACCACGCATCTGTGGTTTCGGCAACAGCGAACCGGAACTCATGGTAGTCAATGTCCTCTACACCAACGTCCTTCCCGGTTCTCCGTCTTAATGAATCCCAGTGTAAGAAGTTGAAACATTTGTGAGTTCATGATTGTGATAGCGGGATGATATCTTGCTTTTTTTCTCCCTATTTTCTAGCTTTTATATTCACTGTTCCTCTTTTTCTAGGATATTTCCGGAGCCTTAGAAGTGGTGATATAAATTTTCTCTTTCTAGTCAAACACTCAACAAAACAATCTGTTTTTCATACATTTTGGGTAGCCAAGACTCTCTGGATTTACTGCTGTTTATTATAGACAAGCTTCCCTGATTAATGCTTAGATTATTATTAAACCATAAACTAATGTTTTAATAATTGATTTAAATAGATTCTTGGGGTAGTATACATCTATGGGTATAAAAATAGACTTTGAAAGAGAGTTTGACACTGTGTCAACTTAGTTAAATGAAAGCAGTAGCCTCTGTTGTAGGGCTTATGACTTCCAAAGTCGTTGGTCTTTGACTAGCTTGTAGTTCTACTGTTTGTATCTGTGGTAGACCACTAATGTGTTTTTCTTCCCAAAAGCCCATACAATACCTTCTGTCATTGGGAAAGTACATCAGAGAGGAAGTTTCCAACTCTGTTTGAGTTTGCTTTCTTACAACCATGGTTTGTAGTGTATGCATCAATATGGGACTATCATCTAGTTCTGTTGTGAAGCCAAGAGAGATGGAAAGAACTTCTACACTTTGGGAGACCTATGGTGGTTTCTTGACCAATAAATAGCACATGTGGCTGTCAATTAATGTCTAGAAGAATAAATTTAAGAGGATATTACTTAATAATTTATAAATAATTGAACATGGAAAATATCCTTAGTTATTAAATTGTTCTGAACAGTTTAGAAGAGAAAAATTCAGTCATTTATTTAGAATATAAAGTAGTTGATAGAGCATATAATCGTGTATTACTATTAAATCTCCCAAAGTATCATTAAGCTGCTAAATATTGCAGTTAAAATAGTAGGGGAATTAAATTTTAAATTTCTGCATCTTTATGTGAATTTTTTTTATTCCCTTTCTTTTAAGGCTAGCTTAACAGAAATTGAAGCTGATTTTGAAAGAAATATTCTGATTTGCTCATTATTCTTCTAAATTCACAAGGGAGCATCTGACAACACTTTGTAAAACTTTGCTCTTAGAGTGAAATGCAAGTCACATATAAATGATGCTCTGTGATGATCATGCAACTCCAGAGTCTGGTTATTGAAAATAATAAAGTCTCCAGGGAAGAAATATGCCCTCGGTGATATTTTGGGAACTAGAATATCTCAAGGCCATAATGTTGCCAGACTATTCAACCAATGGTGCAAACTTATTTTAAAACACTTCTTTTTGGAGGAATTTAGATTTTAATCTCTTTCTGCTTTAATAAAAATATCGGCATATTCTACATAATACAGATGGCAATATTTATTGAATAAATAATTTCAAATTAGATGAAAAATTGTTATTCAGCGATAAAGCTAATTTCTAAACTTATTCATGATTAAATTTTATATAATTTACATATATCACATTATAATTACTCATTCTACTTACTTCTATTTATGATGTGCAGTAAATCATCATGGATATAGTTTCATTATCCCACACTGTCTTACAATATGTAACTAACTTCATGAAGTTATTGCTATTGTTTAGTTTTAGAACAATATACAAAGTAATTAGAGTCAAAGAAACCAACCTGATTTCTGAGATTAATAAAACTGCTCTAGCTCTAGGAAACCATCCCATTAAAGCTAATTTTGAAATTAGGTATTGATTGAATGCAAACTTAATGATTACCAGCTATTTTGTGATTAAAAGTTGAGTATTAAATATCCCTGTGTCCATGGATTTTAAAAGTCAAGTAAATAAATACCTTGAAAGACAAAAAGTATTATGTTGTGTTCAAGAAGAAATAGATATTGAACAGACACATAGCTATCAAATATGTAAGTTTGTGATACAAATCTTTATTAAAGTACAGATAAATCCATATGATTTTGTTGCTAAACATCCTTTGTTTCTTTTGATATTGTTCTTCTTGAGCTCAAGCTGATTTTCAGATTGATATCCTACAACTTTTGTCTCAAGATGCTGTACTACATACCTGTACCACCATGTTCTATAAAAATTATACTTTTTAAAAATAACAAACACTTCACCCAAACAGACAGAATAAAGGCTTTTATATTGTTATATGAGGCTAGTAATCTTTTAATTCTAAAATCAGAGATCACCACAGAGAGAATGTTAAAACTGCCACTTATTAGCATAAATACAAAATATCTCAACATATTAGCAATCCTGGTGAGCATATACAGTGGGTAACCACATATAGGTTGAATTAGAAGCCAAACTCTTTCTATTAAATTTACCTCTTGTGTGTAGAGAGAGAAGGTTCTCCAAATTTTCCTCCAAAATTAAATAGCAAAATTAAAATATCCAAGGAAATATATTAAAAAGACAAATATCTAATTGCCAATAACTACTTAAAAAGATGCTTGATTAAAACTACAATTTACTTACTTAATATTTACTTTGAGATAAGGACTCATTATGTAACCTAACTAGCTTTAAACTAACAAACTTCCTGCCTCAGTCTAACCAGTGCTATGATACTCTGATGCATCACCATGCCAAGTTCCAACCTAAGACTTATATCACATTATGAGTAATTGAATTGGTAAAGTCATCATTCTTGTTTTGGTCTTGTTTCCTGTAAGAAATAGATATAATAATGAATGAAGTAAGAGACTTTGATTTTGAAAGAGCATATAGGGATATATCAGAGGGCTTGAAGGAAGAACAAAAGGGAAAGCAATGTAATTATATTATAATCACAAGAAATAAAATAAATAATTAAAATCCCCAAATAATACTGTCTTAGTCAATGTGTGAATTTGTATGTGACATGAAAAGTCACCATGGCAACTCCTAAAAACAAAAGCATACATTTAATTTGGGCTTGCTCATAGTCTTAGATGTTTAGTCTATTATCTTCATGGTGGGGAACATGGTGTTTCACAAGCAGTCTTAGTAGCTGAGAGGTCTGCATCCCGATCTGTAGGCAGCAGGCAAAGAGGGAGCCACTGGACCTTGCTTGGGCTTTGGAAATCTCAAGCTCACTCCAGTAACTCACTTTCTGCAACAAGGTTACACCTACTCCAACAAGGCCACACCTCTTATATGGTATGACCCTCTGATGACTAAGCATTCAAATATGGGAAAGAGTGCATTCTTATTTAAGCCACCACAATAACAAAACTTTACAAAAGAAGTGGAAATCTTGAATACGTTATCAAAAGGAAGTGAAATCTGCTAAGGGTCCAGGAGATCTGACATTACTGACAGCTTCACTGTACCTGGTGAGACCCTGAGGCAGAGGTATCATCTAGTATGTACCTACAGAAATCACAGAGTAATAAGTGTATATTTTCTTCAACTTCTACATGTGCTATAATTTGGTACACAAGAAAAAAAATAAAGAAAACCATGGTTCTAACAATTTTTATTTCAATTAAAATGGAGATAATTACTATATTATCTAATAAGAGGGCTTTAGAAATTAAATAAACATGAAGATTTGTATATGCATGTATCATATTTCAAATTGTCAGTTTTCAAATTTTTTCTAATATGAATTCAATTTCAAATAACTAACACATGACTTCACTCCTGTATATATTAGAAATATGAGCTTTTCCTCAGGATATTTCTCTCAAATTTCTCTAAAGTTTTAGGGCAGAAAGCACCTAACATCACAATGTTGCTGAGCACTAAGTGGTTTAGGGCTGGTGCACATGATGCACTGTTTCCTATTGATGTCACTGCTGGTTGCCCATAGCATCTTTTGGAAAATGAATTTGGAAATTAACTTTCTTTCTGCACACATGAGACTCTGTGCTTACTTCTGCAGCCTTCTCTGCAATGATGCTGCCTTATCTGTTTTTGCTGGATGGATACAGTTCTGAATGATGGCTATGTGGTTTTGGACTCTGGTTTTATAGAGATAAATTTTAAAAGATTTTCCCCAGAAGGCACTATTTTGCACTCTCTCCGACAAAAATCAAATGACTTAGCAGAATACTCATGGTGTTTTGTTATAAAACTGTAAAAGCATCTATCCTTTATTCCACTATTGGATAAAGATTCTTAATATTCTATATACTGGAGACCTGGCTCAGTAAATTCTATGTGCTACACACTCAGAGTTCTTTTTTTTTTAAATCCAGTCTCCAAAGCACAACTCTTACATTTTCACTTATTCCAGTACTTGCCAGGACAGATAATCACACTGTATGTTTTTATCAAAGTTTTGCTTTTTGCTTTATAGCCATTTTAGATACAGTGTATGAAATATTATCTCAGATGCATTGGGTAGAGATGCTGAAAATATTAATTCTAACAAAACTGATAACATTTATATAAAGAATATTACATGTAAGTGTGAATCATTTTTATTTAAAAAGACACTTGGAAAATTAAAGAAAAATCCCTAGAGTTTTTGCAAAAATTTTTTAAGAAAGTGAATTTTTTTATAGCATGTAGTTGAACTCACTGGTTCTAGACTCACCTAAAATACATATGGCCAGAGTCCTGTATGGAGACAGTGATTTCTGTGTTCTCACACATTTGAAAAAATGAACCAAGGAACATTTTGTGATACGGCTTTCTCTCACTTTATACCCATTAAAACAACCTAATTCATTCTAGGTTTTCTAATGTTAAAGGATAGTATCCAAGGGACCTGAATTGAATATATCAACACTTTGAGTTCCTATTTAAGAAACTAGGGAATAATTTAACATTAAATAACCCTCAATTGAATGTGGGCCTATAATCTTGACAACAAATAGAAATCCCACACCTTGAGTTTCAGCCAATGGCAAACATCCAACTAATCTGTGTCCTAATAAGGCAGATGCCTAATTGTAACATATCAGGGTTCTTTACATGCTTGTCCTATTGAATCCTCTGTGCATACTGCCTACATGAGGCTTTCTGGTTT